TCGTCCCTGAGCGCGAAAGCATTTTCGTAATTCCGCGTTTGTCCGCCTAGCTCCCGAAATAAATCGAGACGCTGGTTTCTACTAGGAAACGGTTCCGTGGTACGCCAAAATGAAATTTCTTCTTTTCTGAATCTTTATTTTATTTTCTTTTTTTATTTTCATTTGAGCAAAAATTTATCGATGTATTATTTCTCTAAGTTTAGTAAATTTGTTAAATTGATTTATTATTAATTTATTTCTCTAAGTTTGGTAAATTTAAAAAAAAATGGTTGGATAATTTGTTCGATTTCTCTCGAGCCAAATTTTTAACGAAGTGCAGTGGCTCCCTAAATCTTCGACGACAAACCCGCAACCGCCGAGCGGATTCGTTCGATTAGTTCAATCGTAACTCGGATCCGAAAGGACTCGTTCGACTTGGATAACTAGGGGAGGGAACTTGAGATAAGGGAAGCTCTGCGGTCTTATCTACGGTGGTCGAGTGGGAAGGGGAGTTGGGGCGTCGTTTGTAAGCCAGAAATCGCGTCCCCCTCCTCTTCCTCCGCTCTAAAAACTTTAAACCTTAAACCGAGAATATTTATATTAACTTCGGCAAATTTCGTATTCGAAACAAAATTAAATTCGAGCAATCGTTTTTATTTTTATTTTGATCAAGAAATTTTCGAAAAGGATTGAAACGAAGTAATATTAAAAAAAAAAATTGTTAAAAATTACGAAAGAAACGCTAGAATAACAAAATATTTTCTCCGTTCCGCCGCAAGAAGGAATATTTTTAAAACACGTGATCTCATTTCCCCCCTGTTGTTTCCCGGTTCTAGGACGAGGAATCCCAAAATTATTTATAACAAACGGTTTGATTGCGCGTTACGTAAGGCACAAGAGGTGGACGTGCATGAACATTCGATCCGATACGGACATTGTCCTATAGCGTTTGTTTTAACGGCCGTCAGTTTCCGTCACGCGTATCCACTATGACGCTAAATTAAGCGGGGAAGGATAATAAATAAGACCGATCTCTCTCCCTTCTGAAATAAAGCCAAAAGCTGGATCGGGCCAGGCGAGCGACTCGAGGCGACTTCTTCTTCTTTTTCTTCTTCTTCTTCTTCTTGTTCGATCGAAGAAAAGTTTCGCGAGATTGAAAGAAGAAACAATAGTTTCGAAATGGAACGAAGATTTGTTTGCGATAGAAGTGGTGGAAGAGAAATTGGTCCAAGCATATGAATTCTTGAATTTTTTCGTGAATATTTAATAAAATATTCCGAGTTTATTTATTCTTTCCTTCCATTTTAACAGTAGGATTAATTCTTTTTGGATCTATTATAATTTTCTTCTTCTCTTCGAAGTTACTCTTTTTCTCCAAAATAAATGCGTCAAAATTATTCCATTTTCAAGCCAACAAATTTATCCCCTTTTCCTCGAACTTTCCAGCAAGTTTTCCAGACGCACTTTCGTAATTTTTAAAATTTCACGCCGCGGTTTCCAACAAATGTTTCGGGTGGAAAAAGAGGGTGAAGTTTGGTCTTCCTTTCGAACGGTCATTAAGGAAGCAAGCGTGGTTAATTGGCCTGGATGGAAAAGGAGTAGGTGCGCCGCTGATTCCGCTCGAATTACACTGGTAATCCAAAGGCCCGATTAAAAATGACGAGAGGATTAATGGACCGTCTTTTTGCTCCCCCTCCCCTCTTCTTTTGAATGTTAGATCCATTTCGCTTTGCGGCACGTGGAAGAGAAGGGAATGGACTTTTTAATTTTTAATAAAGAATCCTCTTGATCGATTTGATTAATGATATTGATATATAAGATAGATTTTAAAATTGCGATTGTATTATATGGATTGGAATTTTGTTTCGTTTCCTTTCTCGAGAAAATTGGGGGAAAGTGGTATTTCAAGGTTCTTAAAATGAAGTTACCTTATCCGGAAGTTCCGATTAAATCGAGCAAACCCTCTTCCGTTCTCTTTATTCGAAGATGTCTTAAAACAAAGATGTATCGAGGATCGATCTCTTTGCTTCTCCAACTTTTAATCATTCGAAGCTTTACCGTCGATGAAAAGTTTTGAAAGAAACCTCCGCCTCCCCTTTGTCTTCTTTCTAATATTACAATATTTCATTTCGATAATAAAAAAGAAAGGATTTTTCCAACTCCCCACACTCTGAGACACTCGAAAATTAGAAAAGATAGAATAGAGACTCGTTCTACTTCTTTATTCGAACCCTGTCGAATTCGAAATCTCGATCGAAATATTACGAAATATCTCTTAGCCGCCTTAGGAGGCCAAGAATCATCTCGAGAAGCCGTCCTTAGAAATTACCCTTAGAATTGAATTATTCAAAAGAGCCTACTGTCAGAAAGAGAGAGAGAGAGAGGGTGTTTCTCCCGCAACAATACTTTCCCTCGTCGACGGGGAGTGGATGGAAACACAGCGATAAAAGGAAGAAGACCGCGGATAGGAAAAGATGTGGCGCGGAAAAAGAGAGGGGGCGCGACGAAGAGCAGAAAGCATTGGGAAATTTGCAGAAGGAGAATTCGCTTGGCGGGTGAGGAGAGCTCGGTTGGTGGTTCCTTATTGTCTGGAAAGAATGACGACGACGACTGGTGCAGTTTCACGGAATGCATTAGGCAGATGGAACGTGTAATTGGAGTCGCGTACGCCCGAGAACGGGAGCGTGCAACGAGAGAGAAGAGCGCGGGGCCCACCTGTCGTCCACCCCCCTCCCCTTTCTTCGAGGCATCGTCGTTGTCGCGCGCCCGTTGTCTCTCTTTGTGCCGTCTTTCCTCCATCCACTTCGCGCGCCGCCATTAACCTGTTTAAGCTTAACGCCCCGTCGAGAGGGGTTGCTTCCTGTTCTGGACGAGTCTCGAGGAATGATAATGTGTTTTAACACCGGGAGGGAGGATTTGGACTTGTTTGAGGAAAGGTTCTGGGCATGTTTTTTCGAAAGCTTTTTGGAATTTGGGGAGGGAGAAGGGTAAAATTGGTAAAATTTTAGGTTTTAGGTTTAGGGAATTTTTGAGAGATGGAAACGATTAATAATTATAATAGAAAGTTTAATTTCTTCAAGAATTATTCATAAAAGGAGATATGTTTGAAAATGTCGAAATGAGAGAACGTTGGAGAGAAGAGAATGGAGAGATTGTATTACGGAAGGTAACGTATTCAACAAAAGATCATTTTCCTTCGTGTTCTCTTTGAGTGATATATTATAAGGTTCGATCTTATCTGGAATAATACTATGGAAGATTTTTCATCATTTTTCTTTTTTCTTTTCTTTTTTTTTCAAAATTATGAAAATATAAAAAAAGAAACCGCATGAGCACGTGTTTCGAGGTTAACAATTCGACGAGAAAAGAGATATGCACGCTATATTGACTGGAAACGACATGTTCGAACATCTTCTCCTTCCCCGTGAATCGTTATCACCTTCTCTTGTCTCATTTTTAATTGCACGAGCTTCGTTTATCCAAATTTATTCCCATTTCGCGAAAAAAAAAAAAAAAAAAGAAGAACAAAAA